GACAAAATAAAACAGGTTGGCACAAGAAGCCAAAATGCTGCCACCCTTCAATGTTCCCCAGGAGAGTCTCAGTAGTTTAAGAACTGGATTGGTAACTGAAGGGTTGGTGGTTCAAATATACCAGCTGCTTCATAGAAGACAGAAAGCAGTACTAGATAGCTAGTTAACTCTTCTTCAGCACCGCCCAACCCATGTCCACATGCATAGAAGGAGGAAGCTGCCTGTTCCTATAAAGAGTTACAGCCTTGAAATCCCCGCAGGGAGGAATCCATGGTCCTGCTGCTATTAGGCGCTATGGAGCCAAGGATGAGTCACAGCGATCCTATGAACAACACATCCAAACTCTGTCCTATCCCGTGACATCCTCTCAGTCTCTTACATACTTGAGCCCATAGCTGCAGTCACCGTGTCACGCTGTCTCATTGAAGGTCTTCCTCTCTTTTGCTGACCATCCACCTCTCCATGGAATAGCCTTGCCTAGCAACGTGCCCAAAGGATGTGAGACAAGGCTCTGTCATCTTTGCCTCCAAGGAGCACTCTGGTGGCACTTTATCCAAGACATATTGTTTGTTCTTTTGTTGGTCCGGGGGATAGTAATTGTCCTACAGGGTGCAAACTTTCCAAAAAGCTGATTCAGACTCCTAGAGGCCCCATGTGTTTCAGAGCACAGCTGTACTCCTCAGTGTTTCCAGGGCTGCCTTTCAGAAGCAGGTCACCAGGTCTTCCTCCCTACGTGGACTTGAACCACTAGCCTTCTGTTAACAGCCTCATCAGCGTGTTAACCCATTGCCCTCCCCAAGGACTGCTATCAGAGATGAGTTTCTTTTATTTTCTTTTTCTGACTTCTTTGGAAGTTATATCTCAGAGTAGAAGTACTTGTTATAAATTCGATTGTATCCTCCCAAAAATATGTATCATCGTGGCAAGGCCATGGTTCTCAATATTAGGGAATTATCCCCTATTCTGTGATCTGATGTAATTATCCTCTGTATTGTACATTCCAACTTCTGTGGTGTTAATGAGGCAGGCTTTGAGGTTAAAGTTAACTTTGGACACACTGTTAGGAGTGGCCAGTTCTTGGAAAAAGATATTATGTTCCAAAAAGACGGAGAGAAAGAACCTCCAGGAGATGGACTGACACAATAGTGATAGCCACAATAGGGTCAGCACCGCCGAGAGCATGTGGACAGTACAGGAGAGTGCCTATTTCCAATCTGTTGTCCATAGGATTGTCACGATTGGAAGTAGCCTCAACAGCACCTAACAACAACAACATGTGAATGAGACAGATGCAGTCTACAGGATTAGGTAGTATTTTGAGTCGATCTCTTTTGAGATATAAAAGAGATCAAACATTCCGACCCCTAAGCAGAAATGAGAACTTCATTCCCACCAAGAAGAGCCAAGTGCAGAATGCATATTTTGGACCCAATGACTCTTGGCTGAGGAACACCTGGAGTGGAGCCGGAAGATGACAGGAAATTCTCCCAGAGCCGTCTTCTGTAGCTGGGACCCTGATTTTGGATTTTCAGTCTTCTGAATAGGAATAGATTTCTGTTTGTTAAAGTTCTCCCCTTGTGGTATCTCTTGGTTAGAGCAGCAGTAGAGAATTGAGACCTTACTCCTGCCCCTCGTGTACACTATTATTTCCCACAAAGGCAACATAATTCCTGGGGAACTTCAGGGACTGTTTATTAAAAGGATTTCTGGCAGTGTGGGCGTTATCATATCGTCTAGTTCTGAACTCCAAGCCCCTATTTCTGGTGGTCAAGCAGACATCTCCATTTCCATTTATATAAAAAACATCCAGAGGGAGTTCTGGTGGCCTGGTGGCAAGAAGCTACACTGCAATCCCAGAAGCGCACGGTTCAAATCCACCAGATGCTCTGCGGGAGAAAGGAGAGGCATTCTCCTCCTGTACCAGTCAGATCTGATTTGACAGAGCACACACACACAAAAATAATACCATTTTTTAGAAAAAGAAACACCCAGGCTTCCTCAACAATAAGAGCCACACCAACTGACTCCTCTACAGTACTTTGTGGGTTGGCACATGTTGTTGTTGTTGTTAGGTGCCGTCGAGTTGTAGACGACTCATAGCGACCCTATGAATGGAAGACCTGAGCACTGTTCATAGAGTTTCCAAAGGCAAGCCATTTGGGAAGTGGACGCCACTCCAGCTTCCAAGCTTGTTTTAATCGGGGAGCTCCACCAAACACTGTCCACCATGGGTAACCATTATCGCACTTGGCACATCAGTGTCACAGTGTTCAGCATCACAGCAACCACGAGTTACCTCTGTACAGCAATGCACAGACCACTTAGAAGAATGTTTCACAC